TGAAGGCAGGGGAAGAGATCTCAAACAGAAGTGAAGTTCAGAATTCGGTGAGCAGAGATCACAACCCTCTCCCTACTGCCAAATGTACTCCGGTAATCCCAGCAGCCTCCAAACACACCCAAAGTGAGTAAATAAATACAGGTGCTGAACCCACACTGAGAAATAACCTGGGAACTGCACTTCCCCAATACAAAAGCCAGCTGATTCTAATAAAAAAAACCCAAAACATTCCTGTCCTAAGCAAAGTCTGCTGTCTCGATCTCACCTAGTTTTGCACGGAAATAAATCCTTTGAGTTTCTTACTTAGGTTTCCACGAAGTCTTTCTGAGGGATTTCTGTCTCACAGAACATCTGCATGGTTTGAAGCAGAGTTATCCTCTGCTGTTTAACACTCTGCTGTCCGGGCTGCTTCTCTGTTCTTGTTTGTAAGGAATGCTGAGGGTTCAACCACAGGCTGTGAATGCACAGCCCACACACAAACATCCAGTTAAGAGCAGGGTCTGTCCACGTGGGGAGTTATTTGGGTATATTTATGTTTTTAAACCTACACCCAAGTGCATCAGAGAGTACCAAGGAGGTACTTCTGATCAGCAGCTTCAATAAATCCCCACACATCTGGTACCTCCCAACCTGAAGATCCTCTGGACAGAGTTTTGGGCAACGGGCTCTTGGTGGCTCTGCCTGAGGCGGAGGTGACCTCCAGGGTCCCTTCCAACATCACCCTTCCTGTGTGACCTTGGAACACTTGATCACCTTTATTTAAGTGCCCTCCTCGAAGTCAGGGCTGTTGGCAGCACAGCAAACAACAGAACATCATCTCTCTCTCTCTCTAAGAGAAAACTATTTGGTCTTATGAACAGAAATCACAAAAAACAAATCTTTAAGCATAAAAATGCATTCCAAAAAAGAGTGAATGTAGGAGTAGGTCATCATAGCCTTTTTCTTTAAATATCAAATAAGCATTGCCATTATATTAATGATCTTGTGTGTGTGTGCACATATTTCAAAGTCCTCCTGACTGAACTTTCCTAGTTCACTGTTTAAAAAGAAAATATTCATTATGGATATTTTTGTTTGTACACTTTAACAAACAAGAAAACTATGACTTGTGCAAAGCTAAAAGCTCCCTGCTCTGAAAGGGCAATGAACATGCTGCTCCAGGAGCATCCCCAGCTCCAGGATGCCTCAAAGCCAGAGGATGAACATTCCATGTTTCCAGCGTTACAGCAGGAACTGAACCAACTAGGGGGTGCACAGGGAACAAACTGAAGGGAAAGCAAGGAAAAAGGGCAAGTTAACTGATTCCAGCCTGTCAAAACAATCAGGATTTAATGTTATATTTAATGGTCAGAGACAGATCATCCCGAGGTGATCGCTAAGAAAACCCCTTCTCACTGGAACTGTCAACATTTCAGGAGCATCAAACCACGTCCTTAACTTGCCATTCAGGCACTTTTCCTCTCTAACCTAATGCCAAACTAAATAAATGGATGCTCAAACAGGGACTGGGAGGAAGGTTCAGACAGCTCTGCCCAGGCAATCCCGGGATCATCAATTCCCACCAAACTTTCAGCTTCTCACAACTCGGGAGAATTCATTTCCCAGCGCCTTCAGCCTGCATTTGCCTCATTACTAAACATGATTTTTTTTTTCCCTCTCAATGTGCAACTCAGCAATCTCCAGTAATAAGTATTCAAATAAAAAACACAGCGATGTGATAAGAAACAAAACCAGGGCTTATCTATTCTGCAACTTCAACCCCCCCCACCTTCTCACCAAAACAATTCATCAGCGTTAGGAAACACAGCTCTTACTCATCAGAAAAACCAACCCCAAGTGTTCCTGCTCAGTGTCTGAAGCTCACAAAAGGGCATTTTCCTGCTTCTGTTTAACAGTGATCCCTGTCTCACCTGAGTTTAAAAAACAAACCCACGCAATTTTCTTCCCCGGGTTTAATTTGGAGTAAATTATAAACACTGGTTAATATAAACACGCTGCAGAAGAGAAAACCTAATTCTTTCACAGCTGGAATCTCCAAGTGAGAGAAATGAGCTGCTCATTTGTGAAATGCTGCAAGTGGATATAAATCTCTCAGGTGCTTATATAGGAATAGTTCCAGAATATCCATCAAGAATAAATGCATCAAAACCCGCACTTTTGTACAGGAAAAAAAGATCAATCACAAACTAATTAAATCACGTGTCTGTCCTAGTGAAACTTGGTTGTAAAGAGCACACGTGTTGATCTGAACCATTTTAAATCCTGCAAATGTGTAAATAGTCATTATTTCCAATGGAACAGAGCCCAGAAGGTGCTGTGTGACCCCGTGACACACTGTGCTACAAGACCTGTGTGATTCCCCCCAGCAGGTGGAAAACAGCAGCTACCCTGGAGGGTTCAAACACCTTCCACAAGATGCACCCCAGCAACCACCTGAGCTAGAAAAAGGTCTTGAGATACTCGAGTAGCTGAGATGTCAGAAATGAGGGTGGAGAGACCCCTTCCCCCTGAAAAGTCCCTTTCAAAACACACCAAACTGATCACAGCAGTATTTGCTGTGAATTAAAGCTGTTCAGGTATTTCTCCGATATTCAATTTACTGTCATCTACAACAGCCTTGCCCAGAAGGGCTTTACATATCACTCCCCAAAAAAACTTACAGTAAAGAATTATCTCTGTAACGCTGGAAAAGGGACAACCCCATAAATGAAACCATCACTCCACGGCAATAATCTGAATAGTGGAATTTATAATACAGAATTTATAATCTTGCCTGGCTGATGCATCAAGCACTGTGCTTATATACTGCTTCCATCATTTCATTTTGAGGCTATTACATAATATACCAAATAGAGCCACATGTCAGCGCAGAGGAAACAAACCTCACTCTCACAGAAAAGCAACTTTTCAGGACAATGCCTTTTCAGTTTTACTGAAGTCTAAATCTAATCTTCCTCAGTTATTTCAGCAGCCCACAAGCACCTGAACTCTTGCAGCAACTTTCCATTAACACATTTAAAAGAAAACATGATTTATCAAAACAACAATAATACTTAAAAATTAATGTAGATATTACATGCAAACACAGCACTGCAAGGCAGACCTTCAAGACTGAGAAAACCAAATTAGCCTCCAATATCGCTTCATTAGTACCACAACGTTGTTCCTCTAAACTCCGATGCCAGAGCTCCAGCAGAGTCACTCTTCAGGAATTACTGGAAGCTTTGATCAGAGCGCATCAGACACAGGAAACAGCAAAAGAAAATAAAACTCCGGGATGGTAAGACAAGAGATTCCTTTTAGTATCACCAGTCAGGTGAGTAAAAGCAAGGAGGAGAGCGCGGAGCCTCCTCTGACAGCTGCAGCCTCGGAAAAGCCAATCCACGGGCACAGAGGTTTGGCTGAGGCGGAGACACGGATTCATTGAGGAAATTCGGGAGGGTGCCTTTACTATCGGCTCTGCCTGCAAGTACAGACACATCGGGCGACAGCCCCTGAGCTTATCCAACCCCGAGGAGCACCGAATGAACCTCGTTCGGACAGCAGAGATGTTCAGAGACCACTACATTCGGAGGGCACCGGGAAGCAAGCGAGCGTTTTCACAGCTGTCCCACCGCTCACCAAAAACCCCGGAAACTCACATTTACTCAACCGGGCAAAAGCTTTTCCCTCCCACGACGCTACGAGAAGAACACACATCACATATCGAACCTGAAAACGCGCTGGCTGACTTAGAAATAACACTTAAAGGTCCAGCCCTTCACACGCGAAGGGTCCAGCGGCGCACGACGAGCAGCACAAAAACACTCGTGTTAAATAACTTCAGGGGCGGCCACAAGGACGGAGACACTGCCCCACACAGGGAGCCAAATCTGCCGTGTCCTCCAGCCCCACGTGTGCAGTGTGTGTGTACCGGGCTGTCCATTCCAGCCCCACGTGTGCAGTGTGTGTGTGCGGGACTGTCACGGTGTGTGTGTGCCGGGCTGTCCCCTCCATCCCCTGAGCAGTCACAGTCCGTGTCCCGAGGGCAGGGACTGACAGCCCGACACGCCGCTCGGCACCTCCACCGTGCTCGGCCGGGGGACCGGGACACGTCCCGCTGCCCCCTCCGACAGGACCCGCTCGCTCCCCGCGCGGTGCCACCGCCGAGCACGCCGCTCGCAGCAGTTCCCCGCCGCCGACACCTCCCCAGCTCCAGCCCGAGCGAGTTGACAGCCGCTCACGACAGGACCGGCCGGGAGTAGCATCAGCGTCAGTCCACAACGAAACGAGCGCTCGGAGCTGCTCCGGCATCCCGAGTCATTCCTGCATCCCGAGTCACCCCGGCATCCCGAGTCACTCCGGCATCCCGAGTCACTCCGGCATCCCGAGTCACCCCGGCATCCCGCGCTCCAAGCGGCTCCGACAGCCCAAGCCCCTGCACCGCTCCGGCAGCCCGGGCTGTTCCGACACCCGAGCACCCCGAGCCGGCACCTCCGAGCAGCGGCTCCGGCACCCTGAGCCGCTCTGCCGCCCCGGCATTCCGAATTGACAGGACACACACCCCGAGCCGCCCCGGCACTCCTGCAGCACCCGCGCTGTCCCGGCACCTCAGCTCCGAGCTCCGTGCTCCGGCACCGCGCTCTGCAGCTCCACCGCTCCGGTACCTCAGCTCCCCGCTCCGGCACCTCAGCAGCCTGCGCCGGCACCCAGCCCGCTGTGCAGCTGCCCCGCTCGGGCGCCCCGAGCCGCTCGGGCCCCAGGCCGCCCCGCTCCGCCGCCCGGCTCCCTCGCTGCCCCGCTCCCTGCGCCCGGCCGGCCGGGGCGCGCACAGAAGATGGCGGCGGGCGGCGCGGGCCCCGCAGTCGGCGCGGAGCGCGGCCGAGGCTGCGCCGTTTGCGCAGCGCCCCGCGCGCGGCGCGGCGGGCCGGGCGTAGCGCGCTTGGTGAATACGGGCCGGCGGCGGCCGCGCGGGGGGTGCTGTAAACAATGGTGCCCCCCCCTGCGCCGCGCTCCCTTACCGATTCCTCCTCCTTCTCCATCCCCGTGGGCATCTGCGGCACGGCCCGGTTGATGGAGACGCAGTCGTTGAGGTCGGGCATGTCCTTGCCGCGGTAGATGGGCAGCGGTTTGGCGGCGTCTAGCGCCCGGGCGCGGAAGGAGAGTTTGCTCATTGTCTCCCCCTCACAATAACACCCCGGGGCCGGGCGGGCGGGCGGGGGCCTTCAGTGCGGCCTCGCCGCCGCCTCCCAGCCGCTCCCGCGCCGCGCCCGCGCCACCATGGAGGGTCCCGCCGCCCCGGCGCAGCTCCCGGCGGGGCCGCCCGCAGCTCGCCGCGCACGCCCCGCAGCCCTAGATCCGCGCCGGGCTCGCTCGGTCCGCTCCCTGCGCCATGGCAAACATGGCGGACATTAACCACGGCCGCCAGCCGTCCCGGCAGCCCGCGCGGCGGGAGCGGCGCTGCGCGCGCAGCCGAGGGCGGGAGGCTGAGGGAGCCTCGGGGAGCCGGAGGGGGGCGGCGGGACCGGCGGGGAGAGCGGCTCGGGGTGTCCGGACCGTGTCCCCAGAGTGTCACCGCCGGGGCCCCGCAGCGTCCCCGCAGCGTCCCCAGAGTGCCACCGCCGGGTCCGCACAGTGCCCCGAGAGTGTCACCGCTGGGTCCGCACAGTGTCCCCACAGTATCCCCGCTTTATCCTCACAGAGTCCCTGCAGTGTCCCCGCTGCTTCCCTACAGTGTCTCTGCGGTGTCCCCACAGTGTCCTCGCAGAGTCCCCACAGTGTCCCCACGGTGTCCCTGCCGTATCCCCACAGTGTCCCCACAGTGTCCCCGCCGCCTCCCCACAGAGTCCCCACAGTTTCTCCGCGGTGTCAATGCCGTGTCCCCACAGTGTCCCTCAGTCTCCCCACAGTATCCTCATAGTGTCCCTGCTGTCTCCCCACGCTGTCCCCAAAGCATCCCCACAGTGTCCCTGCCGTGTCCCTACACTGTCCCCAAAGCATCCCCACAGTGTCCCTGCCGTGTCCCTACAGTATCCTCTCCATGTGCCCACAGTGTCCCCAAAGTGTCCACCAAGTGTCCCCACAGTATCCTCTCCCTGTCACCACCATCTCCCCATAGTATCCCCACAGTGTCCCCACAGTGTCTTCACGGTGTCCATGCCGTGTCACCACAGTGTCCCCACAGTTTCCCCACAGTGTCCCCTCTGTGTCTCCATAGCTCTACAGTGTCCCTGCTGTCTCCCCACACTGTCCCCAAACTGTCCACACAGTGTGCCCACAATATCCCCACAATATCCCCACAGTGTCCCCACCGTGTCCCTACTGTGTCCCTGCTGTTTCCCCACAGATTCCCCACTGTGCCTCTGCTGTGTCCCCACGGTGTCCCCACAGTGTCCCCTGCTCTCTGGACAAACCATCGGGTTCCTCTCCGCAGCTCGTTGGCCGATGTGAACTTAAAATGCTCCAGCAATAAAAAGGGCTCGTCAAAAGAGTTGAGTCACTTAGAAATAAACTCGTCCCTGCACATTTTATTTATTTATTTATTTATTTCCCCCCCAGAATCACACAATATTTAGGGTTGGAAGGGACCTCGGGAGATCATCCAGTCCAACCAGGGGCACCCAGAGCAGGTGACACAGGGAAAGCATCCAGGTGGGTTTGGAATGTGTCTGGAGAGTGAGACACCATGACCTCCCCAGGCAGCTCTTGGCCACCCTAAACATAAAGTTTTCCCTCATTTTGAAGTGGAACTTGTCATGCTTTGGTTTACTGAACTCACCTCCACCTCAGAGCTCTCACAGGAGCTGTCAGTGCAACCTTCTGCCTCTGAATTAAACCAAAACTGTTAGTCAAAGCTTAAACGTTTGGATCACAGTGCCAGCTGTACCTAACATTCCATTTTTTAATTAGGCAAAAATAGGTTCAGTCTCTGAATTGCTGTTCCTTTTTAGTTACCTGTTGCGTTTTTTTTATTTACACGGTTTTTGTACAGCAAATACAACCACTGTTCGTGACACACACATGATTTACAAAATGAAGAATAAAGAATTGTGTCAGCTAGAGAGAGAGAGAAGGAAGATGAAACAAGCACAGTAATACACAGGAGGCAAAAAGAAAGAGCAAGAACATTATGTTCATCAGCCACGGACCCAAATTAGCTTGGGAAAGAGATGTGGAAATTGGATTAACTCCTATGAAAACATCAGGTAAATGTTCAGTAATAGTCATGTGAGCAAAGGAAGCTTTAAAGGTGATGAGAAAAGGAACATAGAAACAAAACTGTGATACTTTGCACATTTATAATTCCCTTTAAAATTTTCTATTCATGCAGCTCTTGACTTGGATTAGAATGAACACATAAATGTTTTACAGTTTTATGGTTCCTAGCCTAGAATTTAGAGTTCAGCACCGTTTTGGAAGCGCCCAAACTTCCCACGCCCAAAATGGGTTTGATCCCCCTGAAGTGACTCATGATTAATTGGTAGCAGCACAGGGCTGGCATTTTCCAAGAGCCATTGTGATGCCTTTCTGCGTGAGCTGGATTTTCCATCCGAATTCCATCACCTGGAGTGTGTTACAGCCCCTGTTGCACAGGTGACACACGCGTGGAGAGGGGAGGCAGCTGAGTGGAACAGGCAGTTCCTCCTGAAGTACTTCCTTGAGTGGCTGAAAGACAGAAAGAACTTTCCTCTTTCTGCTTCTGCAAGAAAGAGGCATTTTTACACACTGCTGTAAGATTTGTTTCCCCTTTCAGTCAGCACAGCTGAACAATAGATAATAATAACCTTTTCCCTTTGTGTGCATGTTCTGTTCTTTTTCACTGCTTAAAAATAATAATAAAAAAAAAGAACAGAAATGAAACGTATTTACCCTCAAGGTGGCTCTTAGTCCTGCACTCATCCCATTATTTTATTTCTACAAGCAATGCAATTTTTTTAAAATGATGCCCTGTGGGATACAGAGGGTTTTTTTTTTGTGTAGTCAAAAAAGCCATTGCACAGAGTTGAACATGGGCAAAACTGAAGTTTCAGCTTACATTAGTTTAGCTTTAAGCCAGAACCACCAATCTTTTAAGTGCATAATCTGATCTCTTCCTCTGGTAAAATATTACAGGTTTTCTGAAGAATTTTAGCTGTAAAAAAATTATGAGCTGTACCTCACTTGTAGATAAAGTAAGTTATTTCTGATGCACAAATCAAGGAAACCACGCCTCAAACGAAATTATTTGTTCAGGAGTTGAATCCTGACCTGTCTTTGTGTTTTCTGTAGAGATGATGGGATTGAATATGCACATCTGAGCAATGGGTAGAGTGAAAATCCCCAGATTTCACTGGAAACACCTATGTCAGTGGAAATGTCAGTCATACGGGCTCGGGGGCTTTCTGTTCTGCCTCTCCACAGTGACATTTAACACAAGGAATCCTTGTTCTCACCGTAGCTGCCTCAAGCCCGGTGGTCTTTTTTAGCAAATGTATCCTGTTTCTATATTGTTGTTTTTGTTGTTTGTGTTTTGTTTTGGTTTGGTTTTTTTTCCCTGATAGTGCATCTCTCACTGCATTAATCTTCTCCAAGCACAAGCATCACTTGTACTCATCTCAATGTACATTATTGCAACGTGCCATGGCGTGTGCATGTACCAGTTCCATGCTCTCTATTGTTACCTTATAAGTACAAGAGGTATTAAAAAAAACCCAAACCAAACCAACAAAAAAAAAGGCACAGAAAATACAGAAACAGAGATTCCAGAAGTGATTTTGGCCCCTGACAGGGAGCAGTGTTGTGCAGCCTCGTGGGGCATTCGACACCTTGGGTTGATTGTAGGGTGTTAAAAGAGAACTGGAATTTTCAGGGTGCTGATGGTTTGACTGTAAAAACACAAAAATAATCAGGATATAATTGTTCAGAAGAGCTGTCCCCTGCACCATGCCATCTCCAGGCTCGGAGGATGCAATTAGGGAAGTGATGCTGATGAATCCCCGCTATCAAACGCTCCCGGTGTGGCTGCCATTGTACATCCCGGATTCCAGCCTCGTTACAGAGGGGTTTGATCTCATGTTTGAGCAAATCTTCACCAGAAGGGAGCCTAAAAGTGTCCAGGAGGCTGGCTTAGTAACTCCAGCACAAGGGAAAGTGCTGAGCTTTCCAGGAGATCCATGAATGGACGAGGGGAGTCTTTTTAAAGGTTATGAAGTCCTTCTTTCTCCTCGTGTCTGAGAACTCTGATTGAAGTGAAAGGAACCTCTGTCCTATTCATTTCAAAGGGGGTTTTGTCAGGAAAAAAAGAGCTTGATCAAAGTAGCCAGTAAGCATGCTTAGTGGCTAATGTTCACAGTTAATGTATCATTCCAAACCATTTCTATTTCCAATTATTCCAAGGGTTGAGGGAACTGGCAGCCTGCACCTTTTCCTCTTTAGGGTCACCAAAAACCTATATCAGCCAAAAACCTGCAATCTAGCATGGGATAGCTTCCTGGGAGATGTAAAGCTTGGAATGAAAATGATAAAAAGTTGAAAATGGAGTTAAAATCCCGAGCCCGACGGCAACAGGTACCGAATAAAAGGAAATAAAAGGGCAGCTGTGGAAATGGCTGATTCCCCAAATTATAGCAGGAAGGTAACGTGGTGAAAAGCAGCAGGAAGCTCCTGAGTGGAGAGTTTCATGGCAGAACTATTTGTGTCAAGAAACAGGTTTAAAGTGAAAGGGAATTGTGCTTTCTGTGTGAGGGTTACCACAGGCGCGGGAGGGACGGCAGCTCTTTAGAGGAACCTGCTGCAGCTGCTTCCTGTGCCATCAAATCTTGGATTCTCACTCCAAAAATCAACCTGACCGTGCTCTTTTACTACACAGTTCAACAAGTTAGCTAACAGCAGTGCAGTTATGAAACCAGATTAATTTGGTCTGGAAGTATCAAGCGAAGCCATTAAGCACCTGTAGGAGTGCAGCCCAAAACCACAGAAATCTGGGGGTTTACCACAGGAAAATGTAACTTTACAGTGCAGTGATCAGTGAAGAGGAAAAACATGGTTATGCCTGGATACTGCTAAAAGCAGTACATAATGAGGGTTGTATTTATGGCCTGAAGTATTGGAAAATGGGCCTTAAAGAGAGAGAGAGAGGTTTATCAACGGTCATTTAGAAAATCCTAGCAGAGAAAAATCGTGAAAACCAGTTTTACAAATGTATACGAATTTATCCCAAAATCTCACAGCTC